CGTGCATCAATTACAGGGATTTGAATAAAATTACTATTAAAAAACTGTTAATCGCTGAAATGTTGGAAAGACTTGGTTCTGCTAAAATGTTTACAAAACTAGATTTATGGGGGCATATAACCTTGTCCACATTGGTCATGGAGATGATTGGAATAGCGCCTTTAGAACCAGATAAGGTAATTTCGAGTCCTTGGTTATGCCTTTTGGATTTTGCTACTCTCCCGCAACTTTTCAACATCATGTTTTTTAAGATCTGTTGATCCAGTTTGTGATTTTGTAAACTAAAGACTCTTCACTTCTGCACCAATATTGGTACACCTCAATCCTGAACTGCCTTTTATTATGGAAGTGAAGGTCTCAGACTCTGCTGTGGGAGCTATCCTTTCTTACTGAAGAGGAGAAAAGATGCAGATTCATCCTAGTTCTTATTTCTCTCATTTAATATCTTCAACCAAAAGGAATTATGACATAGGGAATAAAGAGTTGCTGGCAATTAAGGAAGCCTTTTCTGACTGGAAGCATCTGCTTGAAAGGGCTAATAATCCTGTAACTGTTCTCATTGATCATAAAAATTTGTAGTTCATTTGTTCTGCCAAGAGGTTATCTTCTAGACAAGCACATTGGTCTCTATTCTTTTCCAGGTTCAATTTCAATATCTCATATTGACCTAAGTCAAGGAATGGTAGGGCCAATGCTTTATTGGGAATGTTGTCTGAGCTGAGCTCTCCAGGAAGGCAACTCTAAATGTCCAATCCTATCTGAAAAGAACTTCCTAGGGGCCACAAGTTCCAAGATAATATTGAATCTCCTCAAAGAGGAGTATGAGAATGACCCACTTCTCAATTATCATCTTAAGGACATTAACCTTGAGCACTGGAAAGGCTTTTGGACCACACCGTCTCTATTTAATTGAATTGGTTCGGTGGAAACCCTCAGGTTGGCGCATGACTCTAAAATGCTGGGCATTTTGGGGTTTGAAGAACTTGTATAATGTTCCTTTTGATGTAAAGAACTATGTGACCTCGTTTGACCTGTGCATGCAGTAAGACATCCCAATCTTCTCCTTTGGGGGTTACTCGAACCACTTCCTGTTCCATCAAGACCTTGGCAGTCAATTTCAATGCACTTTGTGGTCGATCTTCCTCACTTGAAAGAATTGATCACTATCTTTGTTGTCATTGACCATTTCACAAGGATGGCTCAATTTATAACTGTTAAATGGGTACCATCTAACAAACTGTGGAGTTGATGGTTTGGGAAGTCTTTAAACTACATCACTGAATATGTGTTGTCTGAGAGAGGAGTGCAGTTCACTGTGAAATTTTGGAAAAGCTTTTGCTCAGCTTTAGATCTAACAATTAATCTGTCCTCTGCTTTTCATCCCCAGTATAATGGACAGGCCGAGAGGACCAATCAAACTTTGGAGCAGTAGCTTGGATGTTTTGTTAGTTATCTTCAGGATGACTGGGTGAACTATCTTCTTATAGTGGAGTTTGCCTATAACAATTGTAAACATTGCGCCAATTTCTTTTTTTTCTTTAATGCATTGTATCATCCACTTTTTATTCCTGACCCCCCTATCTCCACTCCAATTACTGCTGTTACCAACAAATTAACTACATTACAGGAGATTCAAGAAAAATTGACTGATACTTTGAAGGACACTCGGAAATATTACAAGAAGGCTGCTGACAGACATCGCAGATCATACATTTTATGTGGGTGACAAGGTGTTTATTTCCATCTGCCAAGTTAGGTCAAAAGTTTGTGGGACCTGTCCAGCTCTCTGCTCAAATCAGCCTGCTCACCTGATGCTTAAAATTTCCTAACAGTAGGAAGATTAAGCCTGTTTATCACATGAAACATCCCTACTTTCATTGAAAGAATTCTTGATTACAGGATCTTTGGAAACAAATTACAATATCTGGTGCAATGGGAAGGATATGGACCAGAGGACAATCCTTGGTAACCTGAGGAGAATGTTCATGCTCCCAGATTGACAAAAGTGTTCCGTCAGAGGTTTCCTCACAAACCTGGTCCCTAAGATGTCCAGGGGCCATCTTAAAAGAAAGGGAATGTCAGGAATGGACTCGCCAATGGTGGTGGGACTCACCTGCCTTGTAGGCTGCAGTACTAAGGCTGGCCAGCGGGTGCTCTCAGCAGCCAGAATCTCACTCCTGCAATCAAGCCATCACCTGAGGCTGATTGCAGGAGGTGTATTTAAGCAGGACCAGGCCTGCAATCAGTGCCTTGGTGTTGTTTCCCATGAGCCCCTGTACCTTGTATCCTGTGTTTCTGTTTTTCTGCCTATCTGATTTGTTGCCGACCCTGCCCTCTGCTGACTTCTCCTGCTCTGACCCCTGGCTTCGTTTGACTACTCTCCTGGACATCCCTATTCTGATCTGAACCCCCGTTACCGAACTCGGCGAGTGACCTGACTACCCTTTGCCTGCTACCTTGTACATATTAGTATTAGTTAAGGTTTGGTTTTGTTTGCACTGCGTTTGTTTATTTAGTGCAGCTAATAATAAATCTTATTATTTCACCATACTTGAAGCCTGCTGTTTCCCTGTGTCAGTCCACACATCTCTGGTCATACCTGGATCCCTGACAGGGAATACTGTCAGGGTCCAGATCTGAACCTGCAACCTTTGTGGTATCTGGCTGTGGCTCTTCTCACTGTGCAACATGGGATGCTGGGAAACTCTCTGTCTTATCTCTCAGGACAATCTTGATTTGTCTCTTGTTTCTGGTGAACCCTAAACTCTTTGATCCTTCCATGAACTTCCTGATTTCATGACTTCCTAATCCCTACCTGCTATATCTGTTACTGGATCCTGGTGAGGTGATCCTGAGGACCTGGTACCAACATGCAGCAAAACTCATCTCCACCATCAGGAACTCTGGTGACTACTGGTTAGTTCTTACATCCTGCACCTTGGGTGATTCTGCGTCATCCTCCAGGGTGATCTGTTTGTGTATTTATTATGCTGGTCAGTGGGATCCTCTCTAATGCTATAGCTGCTGGTCTCCGAGCCTAACCCCTGACCATGACACTTCCATACTATAGAACAACTTGGCGAATACTATGGCCAGAAAATAAACTGGCAGAAATCAGTCCTTATGCATATGTCCCCCAGATCCCCAGCTACCATGTGGCTGTAGGAGACAAAAGAGGGAGGGGGAGAGAAGCGCAACTGTCAGGAATGGACTGGCCAGCAATAGTGGGACTCACCTGCCTTATGAGCTGCAGTACCAGGGCTGGCCAGCGGGTGCTCCCAGCAATCAGAGACTCAACCTTGCAGCCAGTCAAACACCTGGAACTAATTATACTGGTGTATTTAAGGGACATTCAGACCTGCAGACTCTGCCTTGGTGTTGTGTTTTTCCTGGGCCCTGTATCTTGTTCCTGCATCCTGCTCCTGTTCCTGTTCCTGTTCCTGTCTTGTTGCTGACCCGGCTTGATTCTGACCTCTGCTGACTTCTCCTGTTCTGATCCCTGGCTTGCGACCCCGACCATTCTCTGCCTGACCCCCTGTACCTACCTGCCTGTTAGTTGCTGTACCCTGCTCGTGACCTGACTATTCTCCGCTTGCTCCCCCTGTACCTACCTGCCTGATTGATATTGACCCGGCCTGCCTGACGACGCTTGCACTGTATGTACTGTTATCTGTGGGTGGTTTGGTTTGGTTCGTTTGCACTGTGTTTTGTTTTAGTATTGCACTGCGTTTATGTTTGTATTGTTAGCGTTAATAAATTGTTTATATAACTTATCTGAAGTCTGCGTTTCCCTGCGTCAGTCACACACCTCTGGTCATACCCGGAGCCCTGACATTACACCAAGGCCAATCCTGACCAGAAGTGGCTGCACAGGGAAGCCATCTTGGTTTGTTGATGGGAAGGATGGATCTGGATGAGGTTGCATATTTATATCTGCTAGTGTTTGATGACAGGGAGTATGCTTATCAAACTCTGAAGGAGTATACCCGGGATGAACTGCTAGAATGTATACGGCTCGCTCATGTTCTAGTAGATCAGGGCACAGAGTTCTCTGAGGTGCAGCCATTGATTGAGGTTTGTGCTGAGTTGGTTTCATCTGGTACCCCCGAATGCAGGGATGAATTTTTGCCACCATTTAGTGCAGACCAGGTAGAGTCCCTGGTATGGTTATTAGAGGATGATGTGGGGTTACTTTCTGGAGCGTTATTCCACATGTTCACCACAGGTACTAAGAGATTGTATAAACGCAGTGCAGTCTTTGTTCAGACAGGCTTTGTGTAAGCTCAGCTTTGTTCAACCCATACTGCAGACATGGACAGATTTGTTACACCCAGCCTCAGTCAGCTTACAAAGACCCAGTCCTGCTTCTAATCTATCTCCTCAAAGCTCTACTCCTGTATTCCCAACAGCTCCTCCAGTTACAGCCCAGTATACTTGGCTATCTACCGCATGTCAGTACCCTGTTCCCACTCGCTGCACCTATCCTGCCTTTAACCCTGTAAAGAAGCCCTCTGTAGCGACTGTTCTTTCCCCTGTTCCATCCTCCAGCTCTTCTCTGTCTCCAGCTGCTCCATTCATTTGCAGACCTGCGTTTACTTGCAGTGCCCCAGTAGTTAAAACCAGAAAAAGCGAAAATTCTTTCCAACCAATACCATCCTGCCAGTATCCAAACCGGTGAGCCTACCGTCTGAGAACCTGCCTTCCGTGGTTCAGCCTGAAGCCTCTACTCAGCCTGAAGCCTCTACTCAGCCTGATGCCTCTACTCAGCCGGATGCCTCTACTCAGCCTGATGCCTCTACTCAGCCTGATGCCTCTCTTCAGCCTGATGCCTCCACTCAGCCTGATGCCTCCACTCAGCCTGATGCCTCTACTCAGCCTGAAGCCTCTACTCAGCCTGAAGCCTCTACTCAGCCTGAAGCCTCTACTCAGCCGGATGCCTCTACTCAGCCGGATGCTTCTACCCAGCATAATGAACTGATCCAGCCTGATGATCCTATTAGGCCAGTTGACTCGATGCCCGCTGTTGATCCAGATGATCCGGTACCTGATCCGGTGCCCGCTGTCGTGCCAATTGACTCAGAGCCCGCTGTCGTACCTGGTGACTCGGTGCCCACTGCCTTGCCAGATGACGCGGTGCCCGCTGGTGGCGAGCCAAATGACCTGATGCCTGGTGACCCAGTGCCCGCTGTCATACCTGGTGACCTGATGCCCGCTGTCGAGCCAGACGATCCAATGCCAGACGACTCGGTGCCCGCAGTCTTGCCAGACGACTCGGTGCCCGCAGTCTTGCCAGACGACTCGGTGCCCGCAGTCTTGTCAGACGACTCGGTGCCCGCTGTTCCGCCAGTTGACTCGATGCCCGCTGTTCCGCCAGACGACTCGGTGCCCGCTGTTCCGCCAGTTGACTCGATGCCCACTGTTCCGCCAGTTGACTCGATGCCCGCTGTTCCGCCAGATGACTCGGTGCCCGCAGTCTTGCCAGACGACTCGGTGCCCGCAGTCTTGCCAGACGACTCGGTGCCCGCAGTTCCGCCAGTTGACTCGATGCCCGCTGTTCCGCCAGTTGACTCGGTGCCTGCAGTCTTGCCAGACGACTCGGTGCCCGCAGTCTTGCCAGACGACTCGGTGCCCGCAGTCTTGCCAGACGACTCGGTGCCCGCTGTTCCGCCAGTTGACTCGATGCCCGCTGTTCCGCCAGACGACTCGGTGCCCTTAGTCTTGCCAGACGACTCGGTGCCCTTAGTCTTGCCAGACAACTCGGTGCCCGCAGTTCCGCCAGTTGACTCGATGCCCGCTGTTCCGCCAGTTGACTCGGTGCCCGCAGTCTTGCCAGACGACTCGGTGCCCGCAGTCTTGCCAGACGACTCGGTGCCCGCAGTCTTGCCAGACAACTCTGTGCCCGCAGTTTCCGCCAGTTGACTCGGTGCCCGCAGTCTTGCCAGACGACTTGGTGCCCGCAGTCTTGCCAGACGACTCGGTGCCCGCAGTCTTGACAGACGACTCGGTGCCCGCAGTCTTGCCAGACGACTCGGTGCCCGCTTTTCCGCCAGACGACTCGGTGCCCGCAGTCTTGCCAGACGACTCGGTGCCCGCAGTCTTGCCAGACGACTTGGTGCCCGCAGTCTTGCCAGATGACTCGGTGCCCGCAGTTCCGCCAGTTGACTCGATGCCCGCTGTTCCGCCAGTTGACTCGGTGCCAGCAGCCTTGCCAGACGACTCGGTGCCCACTGTCGTGCCTGGTGACTCGGTGCCCGCCGCTCTGCCTGGGGGCCCGAGACCTGTCGCTCCGCCTGGGGGTCCGGCGCCCGCCGCTCCGCCTGGGGGTCCGGCGCCCGCCGCTCCGCCTGGGGGTCCGGCGCCCGCCGCTCCGCCTGGGGGCCTGAGACCTGTCGCTCCGCCTGGGAGCCTGAGACCTGTCGCACCGCCTGGGGGTCCGGCACCTGCCGCTCCGCCTGGGGGCCCGAGACCTGTCGCTCCGCCTGGGAGCCTGAGACCTGTCGCACCGCCTGGGGGTCCGGCGCCTGCCGCTCCGCCTGGGGGCCCGAGACCTGTCGCTCCGCCTGGGGGCCCGATGCCTGTCGCCCCGCCTGGGGGCCCGATGCCTGTCGCCCCGCCTGGGGGCCCGATGCCTGTCGCCCCGCCTGGGGGCCCGATGCCTGTTGCCCCGCCTGGGGGCCCGATGCCTGTCGCCCCTCCTGGGGGGGCCCGGTGCCCGCCGCTCCGCTTGGGGGCTCGATGCCTGTAGCCCCGCCGGGGGGCCCAATGCCTGTCGCCCCGCCTAGGGGCCCGATGCCTGTCGCCCCACCTGGGGGCCCGATACCTGTCGCCCCTCCTGGGGGCCCGGCGCCCGCCGCTCCGCTTGGGGCCCGATGCCTGTCGCGCCGCCTGGGGGCCCGATGCCTGTCGCCCCGCCTGGGGGCCTGGTGCCTGCTGCTTCACCTGGTAATCTCCCGATGTGCCTCTGCCCGGAGTCCAGCCCGATGTGCCTCTGCCCGGACTCCAGCCCGATGTGCCTCTGCCCGGAGTCCAGCCCGATGTGCCTCTGCCCGGAGTCCAGCCCGATGTGCCTCTGCCCGGAGTCCAGCCCGATGTGCCTCTGCCCGGAGTCCAGCCCGATGTGCCTCTGCTGCCCGGAGTCCAGCCCGATGTGCCTCTGCCCGGAGTCCAGCCCGATGTGCCTCTGCCTGGAGTCCAGCCCGATGTGCCTCTGCCGGTGTGCCGCTGCCCGGAGTGCCTCTGCCCGGAGTCCAGCCCGATGTGCCTCTGCCCGGAGTCCAGCCCGATGTGCCTCTGCCCGGAGTCCAGCCCGATGTGCCTCTGCCCGGAGTCCAGCCCGATGTGCCCTGCCCGGAGTCCAGCCCGATGTGCCTCTGCCCGGAGTCCAGCCCGATGTGCCTCTGCCCGGAGTCCAGCCCGATGTGCCTCTGCCCGGTGTGCCTCTGCCCGGTGTGCCCCTGCCGGTGTGCCCCTGCCCGAAATCCAGTGCCAGTCTTTGATATCCCGCCAGTTACCAGACCCGGGCGGTGGAACTTTTTGCCCAGCTAGGACTGTTTGGGAGCATCCTGAGGGCCGCTCCTTGAGGGGGGGTTACTGTCAGGAATGGAATGGCCAGCAATAGTGGGACTCACCTGCCTTATGAGCTGCAGTACCAGGGCTGGCCAGCGGGTGCTCCCAGCAATCAGAGACTCAACCTTGCAGCCAGTCAAACACCTGGAACTAATTATACTGGTGTATTTAAGGGACATTCAGACCTGCAGACTCTGCCTTGGTGTTGTGTTTTTCCTGGGCCCTGTATCTTGTTCCTGCATCCTGCTCCTGTTCCTGTTCCTGTCTTGTTGCTGACCCGGCTTGATTCTGACCTCTGCTGACTTCTCCTGTTCTGATCCCTAGCTTGTGACCCCGACCATTCTCTGCCTGACCCCCTGTACCTACCTGCCTGTTAGTTACTGTACCCTGCTCGTGACCTGACTATTCTCCGCTTGCTCCCCCTGTACCTACCTGCCCGATTGATATTGACCCGGCCTGCCTGACGACGCTTGCACTGTATGTACTGTTATCTGTGGGTGGTTTGGTTTGGTTCGTTTGCACTGTGTTATGTTTTAGTATTGCACTGCGTTTATGTTTGTATTGTTAGCGTTAATAAATTGTTTATAACTTATCTGAAGTCTGCGTTTCCCTGCGTCAGTCACACACCTCTGGTCATACCCGGGTGCCCTGACAGCAACAACCATAGTGTAGCATGTAAAGTGTACTGTTAATGGAAAAAGTAAACAAGCACTCACAATGTTAAAAAGGAGCTCATCATGACAGTCAGGTAGCCTTTCGGATAGAGATCGGACAGGCGACCAGGATGCCTTGCCTTGGTCACTGGCAAGGGAGTGGAGATGGAATGGAAGCAGGGAACGGCCAAAGCCATGGGTCCAACACAGGGCCCAGGATATGAATCCACCTTTGTTGGAGAATGCTGGAGCTGGAACAGGAACGGGTTTCAAAGCAACCTTGATTTTTCTTCAGCCTGTCTAAAAATGGGCTACCAACTAGCATTTATATGATCAGGAAGAAGCAGGTCACAGGGAGCCGGTACACACCCTTTCAAACACTGATTACCATAGCTGTCAGCAAAGCACCCAGATCTGCGTAAAACAACAGAAAACAGAAGTTAAAAACAAAAACTGTAAAAAATAGACAAATCGTGTAATATATAAACATTATGTTTGACCACAGCTGGGCTGTTGGGGGAAGGGGGGACTGTCAAAAGCAATAAAAAAAATGTTATAGATCAATGAGTAGAATCAAATCAAGGACTAGACTGGGTTTGAACACTAGTCTGTGTGAGCCAAAGCCTGCAGCCAAATTTATGTAGCCAGCTACTCAGAACTATCCATAGAAATGACCAGTGAGAGATCCAGAACAGCCACCATCATTGAAACAAAACATCTCCTATTGAAGCAGGGCCAGATCTGAACCATCTTGCACTGAAAAGTATAGAGGGATGAATAAGCTCAGACAAGCCAGCAATTAGACCTTTCAGTGCAGGAAGGATGCATGCGTCGTGTCGCCACAGGTGCCAGGTGAAGAAATGGGGCAACCAGCACACTACACTTCACAGAGAGATGTCAATAACAGGTTTGTACCTGGCAATGCCCCATATATAAAATCAATAAATCAGTAAATCATTTTATCATTTAAATGCCTGGGGAATGTAGTTACTAAAGACCCTTCCATGGCCCTTACAGGAAATATCACCCCTCTGATAAACACCATTACATGTAAAACATTGCAAACATGGCCTCTGTCTTTGGCAGGCAGAATGAATCTTATTTAGACTATTCTTCTTCCTACATGCCTTTACAGTATATTCTCACTAAAATGCCTGCGATGGTACAAAAATACATTGTCTTACAGAACCCAGTTCTATGTTTTCTACTTTTGTGTAGGGCACCAATAGGCCAAAAGTAGAATTGACCACATTACAGAGACCCAAGGAAGAGACAGGAACGGTCCTCCTAGACCTATTTTTATATTCTTTGGCAGGGAAATTGAAACACCTAGTTTCATGGGTCATTCCTTATACTTCCTCTACTTCCTAGACCCACTTGGCGTATGTGCTGGGTATACAACAGTTATTTTCTAGAAGCTGTTTTTAGTGGATGTTTTTCCTCTCTGTGTACAGAAACAATTGAGTACTGTCCATGATACTTTTTTTATTTGCACTAACATACAATTTTGAGAACAAGCTTTCGGGGTATGTCCCCTTCTTCAAGGTCCAAGCAGTACTATACAAATACAAATTACAAAGTTTAAGCAGAATATTAGAAGGGATGAAAAAAAAAAAGAGGCTAGAGATAAGAGACAGCAAAAGCAAGGGGGGGGGAATACTACACTCACACAGAGGCAGTCATGCTTGAGGTGATAAAACTGTTGGATAATGGTTGAGGAATCCAATGTCCAAATTCAGGCCGTTATTTCTTGTGTCAAATAGAATTATCATTCTTAGTTCAAAAGTTTTTCTTTCCTGAATGGATTTGAAATTTCCTTTAAGAACTAAAATATTGAGGTCTCCCATTGTGTGGCCTGGTTGTGCGAAATGGTGTCCCACAGGTGTGCAAAAGTCATCTTCTTGCAACCTCCACAGTTCCAGCTTCCACCCCCAACACACGAAACGTGCCATCATACACAGTCAGGCCATTAGATACCACTGAATATGTTCTGACCCAAGAGACAGAGATAAACATCTCGGGACACTAGCAGACGCCTTCCATAAGAAAGGTTACAAGGACAAAACTATCAACACCAGATTAAACACAGCCTTGAGAATCCGAAGAGAAAATCTACTTCAGTACAAAGAGAAAAAAACAAACAACCGTGTACCTCTAGTAACCACATACAACCCAGCACTAGAAGGAATAAGAAAAATAATCAAAGATTTACAACCCATCATAACAGAGGATGGAACTCTGAAAGAAATATTCCAGAAACCACCAATACTAGCCTGCAGACAACCCCCCAACCTCAGAAATAAACTAATCAGTAGGAAACTTCCTTCTGATCAAGATGTCACAAATAATGGAAGCAAACCCTAATAAAAATCGCTGCAAACTGTGCAACCAAATCAATCCATCAAAAAGTGTCAGACACTCAAAAGGGATCTTCAATATTTCCGGATCATGCAGCTGCACCTCTAGTAATGTTGTGTACCTTATCCAGTGCAGAAAATGCAGGAAGGGATCTTATGTTGGCGAAACAGGACAGAAGTTGCAAACAAGAATGAATTTGCACAGACATATCATCAAGGAACATAAAGAAGATGACTTGTGCACACCTGTGGGACACCATTTCACGCAACCAGGCCACACAATGGGAGTCCTCAATATTTTAGTTCTTAAAGGAAATTTCAAATCCATTCAGGAAAGAAAAACTTTTGAACTAAGAATGGTAATTCTATTTGACACAAGAGATAATGGCCTGAATTTGGACATGGTATTCCTCAACCATTATTCAACAGTTTTATCACCTCAAGCATGACTGCCTCTGCGTGAGTGTAGTATCCCCCCTTCCCCCCTCGCTTTTGCTATCTCTTATCTCTAGCCTCTTTTTTTTTCATCCCTTCTAATATTCTGCTGAAACTTTGTGATTTGTATTTGTATAGTACTGCTTGGACCTTGAAGAAGGGGACACTCCCCGAAAGCTTGTCCTCAAAAATTGTATGTTAGTGCAAATAAAAAAAGTATCACGGACAGTACTCAATTGTTTCTGTCGCGAATGCACTAATAGGGCTACAATCACCTCAAGCAATCTCCTCTCTGTGTAGAATGGTGTTAGGTGACTGGTATCCTATCAAGGTCTGCCTGGTGATTTATCTTCATAGTATAATCCAACTTTTGAGCAGTTATGTATTGTTCATAACTCTGTTTTATGAAAATCTAATGGATTTTCCCCTTGCCATCTTATTAAATATGTACTATGAATGTGTTCTGCACTCCTTTTCAAAATTTCATGATAAGTATGAGTTGCCTTGTTCTTTCTTGTACACTTTTCCACAACTCTGTCATGGCTTAGAGGCACAATTTAAAACTCAGAATATACCTAAATCTAACTGTGCCCTAAAATCAAAGTGTCCTAAAGGGTTGGTTTCTATTCTACTCCACCATTTACTACTTACTTACTACTTACTAAACTAGGGTTGTCTCCCCTTGCAGTTAGAACTATATGGCAGCTTATGCACACAATCAGATGAAGACTGGGGTGATGTGTTTTCGCATATAAATGTCTCATCGAAAAGCAAATAATCTGTTAATCCAGCTGTATATTATCCACCAGACCTATCTATCCTTACTCCATTTAAATAAAATGTGATGTATAACCACCCACAACTGTATACATTGTACCCAGCCCCAAGCTGATTTTCTGCACCTCATCTGGAGTTGTCCATTCATAGT